GACCAGGTGAGCTGGTTTATGCCTGTAATCCCAGCGCTGGAGGATCTCCTGAGCCTGGGAGTTCAAGACCAGCCTGGGCAACAGTAAGACCCCATCTCTTAAAATAAAAAAAATAAAAAAATAAAAAAATAAAAAGGCAGGTATGGTGATGCATGCCTATAGTCCCAGCTACTTGGAGGCTGAGGCAGGAGGATCACTTGAGCCCAGGAGGTCAAGGCTGCAGTGAGTCACAGTCATGCCACTGTACTCCAGCCTGGGCAACAGAGTGAGACTCTATCTCAAACAAAAAATAAAAACCTTCTCTCTCTCTATATATATATCTATAGACATACACCTATATACACACACATCTATCTATATAAACACACATCTATCTGTATCTATACCTAATCTATCTATTTTTGAGGAAGGGTGTTTACCATAGGAGGGCCTACAAATGAAGCTGATAATTTATTTCTGCTAATAAAATCTTGCTAGTAAACTAATAGGAATGAGTTGGCACCATGTATGGGGGGAAATAAAGACTAAATGTGTATATGTAAGATCTGTATCCCCTATTCCATTCTTCTGCAACTTAAAACAAGTGTCAGTTATATACCAAGGTTTTGGTTAGAATATTTTTAACTTCCCTGCCAGCCATGTGGCTTAGTTGGAGCGTGGAGAGCTACGGCATGTGTGAAGGGCAGCCAAGCATTTATTTGCTCTCCTGATGCTCAGCACAAGGAGACAATCTGACTACAAAGATTTGCATCCCCGGAAGATTCTTGCTAGGCACTATGACATCCCCAAACTTCATTTTCTGTTTTTTTACAATTCTGAGGCCATGAGAGGCAATAGATCAATTAGAATGTAAACTCCTGAAGGCAAGGAGGCACTCAACAATCCTCTAACACACAAATGAGTAAATAAACGAACAAATAAATGGACATGTGAGTCCCCCTTTAGGACCAAGCATGGGAATCTATAACACTGCTACAGATGCTCCTAGGCTGATGTTTTGAGTCACTCAGGTCACCAGATGGCTGTGACTTCCCAAGGTTACAGGCCCATAGCTATCACCCCCAGGCTGCCTTGCCTGGAGGCAAAGGTACAGCCCTCAGGCAGACCGTCTTTGGGAAGGTTGCTGATGACTGCCTAGAACATCCCATTTTATGACCCAGCAACAGACATTTTAGAACTACTGGGAGGCAGTGAAGATGGCACGTTCATAAGATGATGTGCTTTCCTGCTCTGCGTGGTGTTTGAGTGCATTCTGTGTGTGAGTGAATCTGCAGGCGACTCAGACAGGGACTATGGACTGGCTACTTTTGCTTTCTGCTTAAAGGTAGTTTTGCTCTTTTGGAGAACAAATTCACCCATCAAGGCTTCAAGGCAGGGACCATGACAACTCACACAACTAACATTGGGTTCTTTGCAGAACATGGCCTGGCACAGGGTTACTGCTCAGTAAATGCTTTCTGATAATGATATCACATTGTAGTTAAAGAATAATCAGACACAGGCATGGCCTTACAAATACACAGAGTTATTTCCATTGCCCCTGAGAAACCACTCGGGAGTATTTCGGGTTATGTGGAAAGCCCTTACTTGGATGATTTCAGGCCTCGAATGAATTTAAAAATCCCTGGGTGCAAGCTGTGTACCTGAGGTGGGAACCGTATCGGACGGGTCCTTGTCAGGACATCTGATTTCTGTTCCTTCTCTTACCTGAAATGAGACACACAGGGAAATAAGGAAAATGGATTTTGCTAAATTGGAAATGGGTAAGTGGGGCCTCTATTTTGGAAAACATCATTTAAGATAAAGTAAAACTTTGATGTCTTTTAAGATTTCTCCGTCTCCTTCAACACTCATATCCAATTGTCCACATCTTTTCCAAGTGCTCCCAAATCTGTTCCCTCTGCTCCAGTGCCTCTGCCTCCACCTAAGTTCAGGCTTTTGTTATTTCTTGCCAGGATATTGCAATGATTCACCAGTGTCATGGCCATCTGTCCCACAGACTTGCTCCTCACCCTCTGAATCTACCCAGAGTGGTGGTTCTCAATGTGATATGATGTGTCACTCCTCTGCCCAAGTTCTCAGTGAAGGCAGGGATTTTTATCTGTGTTGTTGATTATTGTGTCCCCAGAGCCTGGAACAGTGCCTGGCATAGTGGATGCTCAACAAATATTTGTTAGTTGAACAAATACACTACTACTCTGTATTAACTTCAGCAAAAAGTCCAATCTCCCTAGCATGGCCTAAGAGGCCACTAAACATTCTAAACCACCAGCCCTTGACCTAAGTCTCCATATTTCCCTGCATCCATGCCTTTGCCCAAGTAGTTACCCTCTCCCCTTTCCCTTTCCTTCCTTCTATTTGCTCACCCTCCCATCGATCTGCCTCAGCCTTAGTCACCCTTCAAGACTGAGGTCATGGGCATCCTTTGGAAAGCCTTCTTCAACTTTCTCCTGTCTAGGTTAGTTTCTCTTCCTCTGTGTTCCCAGAATACCCCATGAAAACACGCATTACCGTACCTATTATAGTACCATTGTGCTATAATTGCCTGTTGACTTGTCCATTTCTCTACCAGACTGAGTTCCTTGGGACAAGTCCTGTTTTTTATTTACATTTTAATCTCTCATACCTGGTATCCATCCATCCACCTATCCATCCATTTTTTCATTCAACAAATAGTTATTGGTGCCTACCCTGAGTTCCTGCCTCACTGAGCTTGCATTCTAGTGGTATATAGCAGATAGTTAATAAATGTGTCCTGAAGAATTGTATCACTGCTTTTATCCAATGATAATGATAGCAATACTTACATAGAACTCATGTATGTTAGATTCTATTATAAGTGCTTTATACTTACTGACTTATGACAATTTATTAATAATTCTACAAGGTAGGGCTATTACTGTCATTATTTTCCAGGTTAAAAAACTAAGGCACAGAGAGGTTAAGTATCTTGCTCATTGACACAGAGCCCATAAGTGGAAGAGTCTGGATTTGAACCGAGAGCTGGTTACTTTACCTCATTGTGCCATGCTGCGTCTCAGGTTTACCCTCATTGCTATACTGGTTAGTGTGAGTCAAGTTGAGAAATCGAGTCTCTCACACTGTGTCCCTCAGGGTGGAAGCCCAGGCCATCAAGTCTGCCTCCACTATTTGGAGTAAATCTCACACTTTTCCATAAAATAGGGAGGGAAGGATGTCACTAGGACCAAATTTGTCTCAGCCCACCTCAGTCCCCCCTTCTCTGGGAAAGAAGACATCAACCCTTGAGTGTTCCTTGCTTTCCCAGAGGAGTGCAGGGTGCCCTGCCTAGTCTCCACGGGAAGTCTCATGGGGAGACTCCTGAGAAAAGCAGTGATCAAGGCATGAGTGCCTGTCAGGGGCCCCCTACCAGTGCGAACCCACTCAAGGGCTTTTGAGTTCCATACTGTCTGGGTTCAGCCCTCACCACGTATCTCTGCTCTTCCTTAATTTTCTCTTCAGATGAAGTTCTCAGATGATTTTAGAAGAATTTTTCAGAGATTTGGGAAGGGTCAGAAGAATCTGTCTTACATCACAACAGATTGGGAACAGGAGGTGCTGGGCAGTACACACTCTCTGTAAAACCCCTATGCTGGTTGCGGAGGCAGCTCTGAAGATAAACTGTGGGGGAGACCTGCTTCTAGGCACCCAGGGGACGGCCACATGCTGGATCCTTCTCCCTCCTCCAACCTGTCCTGACTGAACATCAGCGGTCTACGGCAGCCCTCCATATGCCTAGAGGCAGCAGGAGTTTCCCGACGTTAAGAACCACATGGAATGGCTGGGTACAA